CTTTATACTTCACAAATATATACATATGTGACTGAATCTGTAAAAATATTACAATTTGCTGATGACATCTTAATATATAGTGTAGGCAGTAATTTACAGGTTACTCAAGCAAAAGTTAATTCAGCTTTATGTCAACTTAACTACTATTATACTGAGATACTTAAATTAAATATAAATAGTAGTAAAAGTTCAGTTTTAGCTTATGGTATTGATACTAATGTAAATGTTAAGTATAACAATAATTTAATCCCTCAAAATAGCGAAAAAAAGTTTCTTGGTGTAATTTTTGACACTAAATTAAAGTTTACCAAACACATTGACTATATTTGTAGTAGAGCTTTGAAAGGTATCAATATTTTGCGGTCCTTAGCAGGAACTTTTTGGGGTTCTGATCCAAAAATTCTTTGTTTATTATATAAAAGCTTAGTACGTAGTCATTTTGATTATAGTTGTCTGGCATATATGAATATTAGTCCTGTATTATTAAAAAAGCTTGATGTTATCCAAAATATTGCTCTTAGAATTGTTACTGGTGCAATGCGTACCACTCCTATCAATTCTATGGAGGTTGAGTCATGTGTAGAACCACTATGTATTCGGCGAGTATTAATTGCTGAAAAATTTTGCCTGAAAGTGATAACTTCTCAGAATGATGTTCTTCTTCCAAAACTTTCTTATTCTATAACTATCACTAATACACCAGATTTGCCTTCAAGTATAACAGCGACTAATGTTCTCAATAACCAGATCCCTGAATTATTGGGAATTATGAGCTTTATGACTGATTTATCTGATAATATGTACAAATCTGAACTATGGCCTGTATATCTCTGTAAATATAAAGCTCTTATGTGTAAATTAAATATAGATATGTCCAGTGTAGTAGATAATATAGACTTTCTGGATTATTGCTGTACCAAGCCTAACAGTTACAAAGTCTACACTGATGGGTCTAAATCTTCATCTGCAGTGAAATCGGGTTACTATGATCCTCAGGCTAAAACCTCAAAATGTTTTATGTTAAGTAATACTTGCAGCATATTTACAGCTGAAGCTTATGCTATCTATCAAGTTGTATTGTACTTACAAAGTTTACAAAATAATGATAACTACATGGAGTTCCTAATAATTTCAGATTCAAAAAGTGTGTTAATGGCTTTAGACAAATGTCATACTTATTATAGAAATAATTATTTATTGTATAAAATTAGAGAAGCATTGATATCTTTGGATACTCCAGTAACATTTAAATGGGTGCCCTCTCATAGGGGTATCAAGGGAAACGATATTGTAGATGGTATCGTCAATTCTAATTATGATGAGGATCATAGTATTACATGCAGAGTTCCTTTTACGGATTTTCTTTTCGACTTAAAACAAAGAAGTCGCAAGTTATGGGAAAGCTATTGGAAATTATCCTCACAGCATAAAGGTAGTTGGTATGCAGAGATCCAAAAGGAACTCCCATGTAAACCTTGGTATGATAAATACAAAGGAGCCAATGAACGTAAATTTATAACCATTATTAATCGTTTGAGGTTTGGCCACTGTCAGACTCCAAGCCATTTATTTCGTTTTAAAATTATAAATAATAACAGATGTACATACTGTGGAGGAAATGAGGCCGACTTATCCCACCTCATCTTGAGTTGCCCGACCTTTAAATTTCAACGATTAATACTAGTAACGGATATTATGAAGTTGATGGATTTTGATGAGAATAATCGGACTAAACTTGGAAATTCTTTAGCAAATAACTCGACAAGATCACTGATCAGTTTTAGACTCATCAGTCACTGCAAATGGTAGTCATCAATGTCAACCATCACAAATAGAAATTCCCCGCCGTGTCCAAGATTTACTGAAATGTCCAGTTCTATTCAAAGCTATTTACTATTATATAAAAAACACAGTTGAGAAAATTTAAAGCTCACCATTGTTTTATATTGATTGTATTTTATGTTAAGTTAGTATAGTTATTTGTGTAAGATATTTTGTTATACCTTTTTTAAAGTGCCAATGGACTTTGTATCCGGCTAATAAATAAATTAAAAAAAAAATGAGTGAATGAAATCCATTTTTGCCATCTTCATTCGTTATTTGCGCTTTGAAGAGTTTGAAGTGTCAAATTAATCTAAATAACACGATATAAATAAAGTTGTTTTTCTGTGATTTAATACGGTTTACACTTTTTACGATACTTAAATATATAAATAACGATGTCCGCAAACAGCCAACGGTCAAATAAGTAAGTTCAAACATATTTTCGTGTTATTTATTCCGGTTTATCTTGTGTTTCGTAATAGAAAGTAATACATTTATGTTTTGTTAAAGGGACCATACTGCTAACTTCGCCAAAAAAGAAACTGCCAAACTGGTGATGCTTCTCAAGGATTTCACAGTCGTAACCTGCAAACAACTGATCACTGCAGCAATCTACAAAAAGATGCAGCTTGGAAATCTCTGTGACGTTTTCAACTCAGATGGGTCTAGACACCGAAGTGTTAAATTTAATATACATTTAATGAAGGTGTAGGCACATTTTTATATTTATTCTTGTATAGCTGTGTCCTACAACAAAAGGAAAAAATCTTTTAACCCTTTGGAAACAAGGAAGCGGATTATGATCCACACGGATAAAAAAAAATTGAGTTTAGAAACAAAGACAAAAAGAGAGGATGATTTGTTCAATTATGCTTAGGAAGAGCATCAAAAACATTTGCTGCACCAATGAGAGGCCCACCAAAAATTCATACTGCATAAAGAGGAGGTGCACTAAAAAGTGATGCAGCAGATGGAAGAAAGGCACAATAAATATATGTAGCAGCAAAAAGAGTTGCATCAAATTGAGGTGAAATGCAAGAAGAAACAATTAGAAAATATTTAATTGCTACTTTAGGGTTTCATGTAAATTTTGTAATGTTTTTTTAATAAAAATGGTTTGTATTTAAGTTATAATTAAACAGTTTATTAATCAAGTCAAATGTTTTATTTATAAATTCTTGTAATAAAGTAGATAGATGCTAACTCACAAATGTAATAAAAGCCCTAAAGAATATCATAGGTCCCTAACTAATGTGTAGCTGTAGTTTTTAGTATAAGTACATACTTGTATGTACTTATAATAATTATAAGTTAATATTATTAGTAATATATAAATAATATTAACTCTAATTCATTATGTATTCTATTGCCTATAATATTAACTTATAATAATTATAAGTTAATATTATAGGCAATAAAACACATAATGAATTAGTAATATACTTAATTATATACTGCTGCGGTTCTGTAGTTAGTAATGAAGCAAAATAGGTTGGTATGAGCTGCTGTCTATATATACTCTTGTTCATTGGCAGTTTAAGATCATTCCCAATTTCAGTAACAATCCAGAGCACTGTTCCCTTCGATAGGGGGTAACAGTGACAAAAATCTAGATCATCCCAGGTTTCTAATGGCGGATGACATTGCCTAAATATTTTTGGTCACTCATTAACACATTCTCATATAATATTATCGTCTTCTTCATCGTCTCATTAATTAAAGTATCTCAATATGTTTAAATTCATCATTAGATAGTAATAAACGTATTTATCATAGTTTGATTTCTGTGACAAACAGCTGTTAGTATATAAATTACCAGCGGCCATCTTTTTAACCCTCCGATACTGAGTAGTTAACTTTTTTGACTAATGGTTAGATATTTTACCATTGGATGCTCTTACCACGGATCAAAAAACGCATTTTGCTGATATTTAACTAATAGTAACGATTTTTTACCAATAGTTGAGTTAACTACGGATCAAAAAACCGGCCCTAAGTGCGGAAACTGAGTCCTCAGTCCACAAGCCATATTTACATATACTACCACACTTGGTGCTCCTATACTAAAGAATATGTAACACTATATTATAAATACGAATATGTGTGCACTAGACTAGCACAGTAGAAATTCAGAATTTAATGACTGCTATTTTCAAACTCTGTACAGTGAATGCTAACGAATATAACGGCATAATCTTATTTAAAAAGGGGCAAAGTTGTGATCATGGGAATCTCTATATGTATGTATATGTATTAAAAACCCGGTATAAATACTTATATCAGACGGAGTATCCTTAATGAACATAGTAAGTCAGAAATACTAACTACTACAAAATGCATGAATCTGAGTAGTTCTGACCCCTTAGTACGGGTTTGACCCTAGCTGAATTATATAAGTGTATAGAATGCTATATATATAAATAATGATTTATCGTGTGATTTTTTCTATTTTAGCATCCAAGGGCAAGTTTACAATTTATTAAAGTAATGATTTATATTTTATAATGGTATTTATATATGTTACCATTTTAAATAAGGTATTCTGTTCCGAATAAATAATTGTGATACATAGCTACCAATCGACCGTTCCTTTTTATTAAAATGGTCTTACACGCTGCACATCTTAGTCTGGTTCCTCAAAAATTCTAAACGTAACTTTCCCCCTACCAGACCTACGCGGGTCACCAGCCCAGATAATAATGATTGAACATATCGAAAGTGGTTATACTATCTGCTAATCTACACTGTATAATAACTAATGGGTGGTTTTATTTACATAAGTTTGATAAGATAAATTACAAGTCACTTAATATTGTCGTCGTAACTTTGTTTGTGGCTGGCGAAGTATTGATTAAAGTGAGAAAAAATAATATAATAATTATGCCATAAACTCATTACATATCTAAAAACTGATTATTATTGTAAAAATACTAGTATTTTTGTGAGATAGAACAGTGCCTACGTATTAAATTTATTAGAATTTACTAACTTTAGTCCGCTTCATAACTTAATTATAGTTTATTATTGTTAACATATTGTCTTTTAATTACTTTTAGTAGAAGCATTTGGAACACAATAATTTATTATTGGGAATATAAAAGTGTACCTATACATAATGTTTAGATATTGTGAGACCATTTATTTGTTTGTTGCAGCCATATTTTTGTCAGAGGAAGATGTCATGTCCAGAATTGCTCCAAGGAGCAGCCGGGTCTTCTTTTACGAATTTGGTGACACATCTTCTAGCTGCCCAATGCCTCATCTCTGAATCCTGGCCCAGGGATCACGGAGACCTGATTTCAGGTATAGTTCAAAGCATGTGAGTCTTGCTATTACGTCTAGTATTTGTCATTACGTCAGTAATAATCGTCGACAATCCAAAGATTGAGCTTATTTGTTCGTTTGAGTTATTAATTGGTGACTTTTTTGTCTTTTCGAATCTTAATAAGGAAAAATATCGCATAGTGTCTTTATAATCTGGTTTTTCGTGTTAAGAATATTATTGGAGTTTTCATGTTTGGGGGTTTAGTGTTCTTACCTATGGGGGCCGTGACATGGTGACCTACCTTAATCAAATCTATCTTAATGTTCATTTCTGGATAAACATTTAATGAAGCTTCGTTACATTAAAAGAAAAACAAATAACATAAATTATTAGGGACACAACGTGCGGCCTTATCGCTACAAAGCTATATCTTCCAGGCAACCCAAAATAATATAAGTTATTTGTTGTCATTAAAACTGTATTGTTTTATTTAAGCGTTTGTAACTCGCAGAGATATTAAAAATGATAATAATAGAGATTGTGTGCACCTATATTTTGTGTGGCAGGTGCTTTCATACTACGTGGACTAAAATATATCATTGCTTAACAAAACTTACCTCCCTTATTCATGAACATACTGTATCCATTAATAGCTTTTGAATGTTTTATCCTGGTTACACTATGTGTTAACGCAGGATAGTATAAAGTTAAAAGTAATTTCTTTTCTTGAAAAAGGATTATAAATCAAACAAGATGTTTCCTTGATCAGAGGTGTAATCGGAATGGAATAAGCAATACTAAAAGCTAAAACACGCCTTGTTCTGTTTGTAGCAGTTAAGACATCTGTAGTAGTTGCTACTCAATAGTATTCAGGCGCTATGCATCAACATGCCCCCAGGCGTTGAAGGCTTGGCTTCAACCAATCCACTTGGCAATGGACAAATTTTCGAAAATGATCGTTTCACATTTCCAGTAGACGTTCTAATCTCTGCGACACGAACAACATCATCTGCACCAGGAAAGAGCGCCACGATGCGACCCAGCTTCCATTTCATTGGTGGCAAATTTTCCTCCTTTAGCAAAACAAGTGAGTCAATTTGCAAAGGGTTTACTTGGGTTTGCCATTTTGTCCGTTTTTGGAGTTCTGAGATATACTCCTTGCTCCATCGTGTCCAGAAATGTTGACGAAGCTGTTCAATTCTTTGAAATCTTGAAATATGAGTATAATTGTGGTCTACATAACTTTCAGTTGGAATAGCTGTGAGTGGACGTCCGATCAAAAAATGTCCAGAGGTCAGTGGAGTCAGATCTTCAGGGTGCGTTGATAAAGGAGTGAGTGGTCGAGAGTTTAAAATCGCTTCTATTTGCGTTAAAACTGTATACAATTCTTCAAAAGTTAATTTAGAGTTCCCTAATACTCTTAATAAATGGTATTTCGTAGATTTAACTGCTGCCTCCCAAATCCCACCAAAATGTGGTGAATAAGCAGGTATGAAATGAAAATTTACGCCATCATTGATGAGATCAGTGGCAAGAGAGTCAGAGTTACGCATTAAGAAATTAGCTAAATCTTTACAAGCCCCAACAAATGTAGTACCATTATCTGAATATAAGTGCAATGGTTTACCCCGACGAGCAATGAATCGACGAAAAGTAGAAATAAAACTGTTACTTGTCAAATCACCCACTAATTCCAGATGTAATGCTTTAGTCGTAAAACATACAAATATAACTATATAAACTTTGATAATACGAGAGCCTCGACCTTGACGAGTAACAGAAGCAATAGGACCTGCATAGTCCACGCCAACAGACTCAAAAGGATAGTTACCGGGAGTTACTCGACGCTGGGGTAAATTACCCATAATAGGAGCTTCAATCTTTCCTTTCATGCGTGTACACCTGATACATCGTCTATAAGTAGTCTTTGCTAAATTTCTACCACCGATAGGCCAATACACTTCTCTTATTGAGGATAACAATAACTGTGGCCCAGCATGCATAAGTTTCAAATGTTCATGTTGAAATATTAATTGTGTTAATCGATGTGTGGACATTAATAGTAAAGGATGTTTTTTATCATATGAAAATTGTGAGTTACTAATACGACCGCCAATACGCATTAAATTATTTTGATCTAAAAATACATTAAATTTCAACAAAGCACTTTTAACTGGTAATTCTTTCTTTTGTAAAAGAATATCATATTCTGGAAAAGATTCTCTCTGAGCAGAACGAATAATAACGTTAAGTGAATTACTTAATTCTGTTTCAGTAAGGTAATTAGTTACAGCGCGTCGACCCTTACACGATTCAATAAACCTAAATAGATAAGCTATAGCACGTCTTAGTCTGTTAAAATTTGAAAAGCGTTCAAATTGAATGAATTCTATAGGATGAGCAATGTTAAGTAAACATACCTCATTACGCATTTCTGGCAACGGTTCACATTGTACTAAAATGGAAGGCCAATCAGTATAAGACTTCTGTAAAAAGTTTGGTCCTGACCACCATATGTTTAGTGATTCAATATCATCGACTTTAACTCCTCGGGAAACATAATCAGCTGGGTTTTGAGCGGTAGGAACATGACGCCATTCACAATCACCGGTTATTTCTAAAATGTCTCCGACGCGATTCCTTACAAACGTATTTAATTTACTTGGCAACATCTTAAGCCAACCTAATACAATGGAAGAGTCAGTCCAGAAAAATGTATTCGTAACTTTAATTCTTAACGAACTACAAACCTTTTTATATAGTTTTGCAGCCACTTGAGCTCCGCAAAGCTCGAGCCGTGGAATTGTAGTTGGTTTAATCGGTGCTACCCTACTTTTAGCTGTTAATAAACGTACTAATACATTACCGTTACGATCACTACTACGTATGTATAAACACGCACCGTATGCCCTTTCAGAGGCGTCCGAAAACACATGAATTTCTAATTGTTCATACGAGTTAATCATTACATGACGTGATACCCGTAAATTATTTAACACATTTAAATTTTTAGTAGCATCCATCCAGAGTGCTTGGATGTGCGAAGGAAGAGGTTCATCCCATGATAGACTTTGCAACCATAAACTTTGTAATATAATCTTAAATTTAATGACAACAGGAGAGAGAAGACCTAAAGGATCAAATATTTGTGAGATCACTGAAAGCAAACTACGTTTTGTGTTAGCCGCAGTAGAAAACCCAATTGGGAAATAAAGATCATCACAAACAGGTAACCAACCTAAACCTAAGGTCTTACTTGGCTCATTCCCCCCCAACATTAAGATTATGCGAGGCTTCTGTTGCAGACTCTGAAATTAATTGAGGCTCATTAGACTTCCACTTTCGTAGGAATAAACCAGCTGAGCCCAGTGTAGTTATTACTTTTTCGCGAATATTCCTCACTACATCCAGATCATCCCCCCCACTCAACAAATCATCGACGAGAAAATCATGGAGAATGACTTCTGCTATCTGGTGGTCTTGACATTCGAGTCCCAACTGTTTCAGACATCTTGTAGCGAGAAATGGTGCACTCGCGGTACCATATGTAACAGTATTTAATTGGAAAGCTCTAAGGGATTGAGATGGGTTGTCACGCCATAATATATGCTGCAGGTATCTATCATCAGGATGAACAAGTATTTTTCGGTACATTTTCTCTACGTCAGCGACGATAACATACTTATGTTGTCTGAACCTTAAAAGAATAGACAAAAGATCGTCTTGTACCATCGGACCTACCATTTGAATATCATTCAAACTAATATTATTTGAAGTAAGTGAGCTCGCGTTAAAAACTGCTCTTAACTTAGTGGTGGTACTGCTTTCGCGCAATACCCCGTGATGTGGGATAAAATATGCATTTTTATTCGAATTAAGCCCACATTCTGTCATATGACCCAACGATTCGTATTCAGTCATGAAATCGCGATACATATCATAAAGTTTTGGGTTTGTCCGAAGTCTACGTTCTAAAGAGTAAAAACATTGTTTAGCTCGCTGAAATGAATCACCTAAGATAGTAGGACTTTCTTTTAGTGGAATTCTAACGCAAAAACGACCGTCTGACAAGCGAGTAGTATTTTCCACAAAATGTTCTTCACATGACTTTTGTTCTGATGAGTAACTAGAACAAATTGAACTATTTATTTCTTCTAAATGCCAAAATTTTGAAAGTTGATTTTGAATACTTTGATTTAAAATAATATCATCGTTGAAATTATTATTTAAATAATTACACTGAATAGGTTTAAGTGGATATGATGAGAAAAATGAATTATTTAATGGACCAGAAATTATCCAACCTAACCTTGTTTCACAAAGAGTAGGTTTGTTATCACCTAACTCAATTCTTTGGTTTCCTACTATATCCCAAAAGACATCAGCGCCTAATATAAGGTCGATGGACGCGGGTTTATAAAAATGAGGATCCGCTAAACAAATATTCGTAGGAATATTTAAATTTAATATATTAACTGTACTGTTTGGTACAGTATCAGTTAATGATGGTAAAATAAAACAATTAATGTTACACGTAAATGAGTCATCCAATGACTTAAAACGCAGATTACACATTTTATCGATTTGGGTAATTGCATTATTAATACCCTGAACGGATTGACTTATTTTATTATACGACAGATTTAACTGTTGAAACATCCTGTACGATAAAAGGCTAGATGTGCTACCAGAATCTAATACAACACGAACGACGTGTTCGCGATTGTTTGAATCGTATAACTTGACTAGCGCAGTGGATAATAAAACCAAATTTCCGCGGCGACAATTATTGTCTTGACCGGCGGAAGAAACGCTGGTTGATAATGTCAAGTTATCCGGATTACTGATGGCGGGAGTAGCATTAGAACCAATACCCTCACCACGCACTAACAGCTTCTGCTTATCTGCAACGTGTACTAAAACTGAATGTTTTTTCTTACATATTTTGCAACCTGATTTTTTGCAATTATTTGAAAAATGAGATTTGGAGAAACAATTAAAACAAACCTTAAATGTTGGCAATAATTGAAGACGCTCTTCGTTATTTAAGGCTAAAAACTGAGAACACATGTTCAGTTTATGCTCGCCATTACATTTAGGACAAATCTCTTTAACGTTAATATAATTTAAGTTCTTGTGATTGGTTTGTGTTGTAACCATAGCCTTAACTTTTGAACAACTAACTACTACAACTATTTTGGTGTGACTGACGTGAAAACTCAAGTGTATCAAGCAAATTAATATGAGCTCGCATGAAATCTAGGAAATGTTGAAGCTCAATTCGCGTTTCATTACTTAAACGACCTTTATACTCTTCCCACTCACGATTAGTTTTACTATCTAACTTATGAGTAATTATGTGAATGAGTAAAGTGTCCCAATGCTTTGTGGGCTCGCCCAGTGAATCCAATGCTCTGAGATTTTTATTTAACAGGTCCATAATAGTTTTTAAACAAGACGCCGTTTCCCTAGTAACCGATTCAATATTAAATAACGCAGTAACATGATGTTGTATTAATAAACGCTTGTTATCAAACCGGTCACAAAGTAACTTCCACGCTGTGTTATAATTATACGAAGAAAATTCGATCGACGAAATAACAACAGCAGCTGACCCGTCTAACGATGACCTCAAATAATGAAATTTATTTATGTCATCAATTTCATTATTACCATGAATAAGACTGGTAAAAGTGTCCCTAAACTCCAACCAATTATTTATCAAACCATTAAATTTCGGTATTTGAATCGTGGGCAATTTGACAGGATTCAGTTTAACACTATGTATGACACTACCTTCGCCATCAGATGGAAGAGGAATGTGAGATTTTTTATAATTTGAAAGAATTTTCTGAGCATTACTTAATGCCTTATAATATCTATTTTCAAATTCCTCACGCTCCTCAAACACCTGACTCTCATCGTCCTGTAAACATTCTAACCGTGTTTGCACCTCATCGAACTTATTATACAATACATCAAACCTCCCAATGCGCAACTCCAACTCCTCATAATCCCTTTCATCGGGAGGTGATGGCGATTCAAATGAAGATAAAAACCCGTTGAAAATGGTAACTTGACCCTTATAACTGCTGCGCTTTTTAATAAGTTCAGCTACTTCGGTTTTTTCAGACATGTTTGCAGAGCCAGCAGTTAAATCCTGGAACTATCGTCAATATTCTTAGGTATATAATTAAAAAAAAACTTACACACACAACCAAAATAAAACAGAATTAAATTATCTACTTCAAAACACTAAAATAATTATATTTTTTGAACAAAAGTAGTAGGTAGCAGCATTCAAAACGTGACACCTACAATTTCATTAAAAATAATTATAATATACAACTATAATAATTAACACAAATCACTTTATAATTAACAATAATTAAATCAGGTTACTAAATCTTTAAAATTAAATTTAAAATTTAAATAACATAAGAAAAAACTATACCGACTCACGACACACTCCTGTACAAATCCTTTTTTCTTCTTGATAACCTCCACTGACCTTGATTGAAGTAATTAATTAATTCCTTATTTCTATTGTTATTATCCGTGCTCAAAGGACCAATGTTAACGCAGGATAGTATAAAGTTAAAAGTAATTTCTTTTCTTGAAAAAAGGATTATAAATCAAACAAGATGTTTCCTTGATCAGAGGTGTAATCGGAATGGAATAAGCAATACTAAAAGCTAAAACACGCCTTGTTCTGTTTGTAGCAGTTAAGACATCTGTAGTAGTTGCTACTCAATAGTATTCAGGCGCTATGCATCAACACTATGTAAATGAATAATTTAGACAAAATATTCCTACGCTTACAAGTATCATTGAATTGTTTTATTTCAGATGGAGATTCATTTGATTTTATTATTGTCGGTTCGGGTACAGCTGGATCGATCGTTGCTAACAGACTTACAGAAGTGTCGAATTGGAGGGTGTTATTAATAGAGGCGGGTGGTGATCCACAAACGGATTCTATTGTATGTCATAATACGTATTGTTCATTTGTAGCCATAATTTTATTATTGACACCGTAAAGTTTTTGAATTATATTTATTATAAAAAATACGCATATTGAGGTGGTTTTATATAAAAAATTGTTTTCTTACAGTTACAAAGTTTTTGACGTTCTTAAGTGTACATTGTTACCTATATTATGAATAAATGATTTTAACTTTTAGGCACTATAAAAGTATGACTCCATTACATTACATTTAATTGAAATTGCTTGTTATATGAATTTGCGTTTCACCGGGAACGCAGGACCTGAAGGAGATGTATCCTTTTTTACCAAAAATTAAACTACACGTAATAATTAAAACAGGTACTTTATTTCTGATTGCAGATTCCAAACTTTTCTGGAGCGACACACTATAGTAAAGACGCATGGCAATATTACACAGAAAAAGATGAGACGACGAACAGAGGATGTGTCAATGGCAAATCTTTTTGGCCTCGGGGTAGAACGTTGGGCGGTACCGGATCCATCAATGGCCTACTTCATATGAAAGGTAGCGCTTATGACTACGCGTCATGGCACGTTGCACCCAACGACGGGTGGGATTGGAAAACAATAACAAAATACTTCATGAAAAGTGAAAAAAATATTGATCCATTTATTCTTAATAATTCAGAACTTCGAAAGCACCACGGTACTAATGGAGAATTTATAGTTGATCAACTGAATTGTCTACATACAGAATTTACAGAAACCCTTACCATGGCATACAAAGATTTAGGTTTAAAGTATTTGGATGATCTGAACGGGCCTAGTCAAATGGGATTTGGAAAAATTCGAGGAGGTAACTTTAAAGGACGAAGAGTAAGCACAGCTACAGCTTTTCTAAATAAAATCCAGGAGCGGAAAAATTTATATATTTTAAAGAACACATTTGTTAATAAAGTAATATTTGAAAACAAAGTAGCCAGGGGTGTCGAAGTTACCTTGCCTAACAATAATGAAGCTAAATTTTTTACTAGTAAAGATGTAATATTAAGTGCTGGATCAGTAAATACACCTGTTTTACTGATGCTATCAGGTATTGGACCTAAACTACATTTAGATACTTTAGGCATCGAGGTTGTCTCTGATTTACGAGTCGGAGAAAATCTACAGGATCACGTTAGAATTCCTATACCTGTGACAATTAATACGGGGGCTAAGGCAAAAAGTGAAACATTTTGGTTGAACGCGGCTTATCAATATTTAACAGAACAGAAGGGTCCACATGCAACCAACTACGACCAACCAAATATAAATGCATTTCTATCTGTTCCAGACGGTAAAAGTCTTCCTGATGTACAAATAGACCATAACTATTTTGTGCCAAATACATCTTACGTATATTCAATGTGTCGAAATGTATTGTCGTTTAATGAAGATATATGTAAACAATATTCTAGAATGAATACAGGCAGCGAATTGATAATTTTCTTTGTATCTCTGTGTAGGCCTTATTCTAGGGGAAAAATTTTGATACGCTCCAACGATCCCAAAGAACATCCAAAGATTTATTCGAAATACTTCAGCCACCCGAAAGATATGGAAGTATTTGTGAAAAGCTTGAAAAGAGTAATACAAATTGTTGACACTGATACTTTTAAAAAGGCAAACGCCGAGTTAAAGAGAATATACTTCAAAGATTGTGATCATTATGATTTAGGTAGTGATAGCTACTGGGAATGCATGGCCAGAACGCTAACATATAATGTTTATCACCCAGTAGGTACTGCAAAGATGGGGTCTACTGCGGACTCTACCTCTGTCGTGGATAGTCATTTAAAAGTTATTGGCGTCAGTGGACTGAGAGTGATAGATGCAAGCATTATGCCTACGATTCCCAGTGTTAATACCAACGCTGCAACCATGATGATAGCTGAAAGAGGTTCTGACTTTATAAAAGAGAAATATTTAAAAATAAGCAGTAAGGACGAACTGTAATTTCGGTTTATAAGTTGAGTGGGCTTACTTTCCCTTTATACATATTATGAAAGTTTATAGTTGAAAACAATCTTATTTTAGTTTCGACATTTGGTGTGTTTAATATTTCTAATATGTACTATATGTTATGTAATCAGCTAGCTGAGTGTATTTCTACATAAAATATCTGACAACATAATATAAATGAATTCATATATTATAGTTCTTGATTTAATTATTGCTAATCCACATCATTTAAGACACATAAATTTTTAATTTATACAGAATGTTCATAAATTATATTTAAGTATACCATAAAATCCTTCATATTTAGTTAGAGTTTTTATATTAGGTCTCACATGTAGAAAAGAAATTATAATGTCAGCTTCTAAAGAAACAATGAAAATATGTCATACTGTTATAGCAGCTTCACGGTTCTTTCTTGTAATAATAATAATTAATAACATAAACACCTTATCGATTGTTGGCAAAGGAATTTTGCCATTGACTAAGAACTCTGTAGCTCTACAGTTCTATATTGACATTGAGAATAATAGTCGTTTAAAGTTATGTAAAGTGCATGCTTCACATCAAAAGTGCTGTTTAGCGGGACAGGAGAAAGATATTTGTAGAGTTTTGGATATCTATCCACCGTCTGATGATATTATTAAACCGAGGGATAGAAGGACTTTTTTGTATATTTCCCCATTAATCCACCAACATGATTTAGAAGGACATTGTAGTTTCGAAATACAATATCAGTGTAATACAAAATTTGATAAATTAAATGTTAATCTTCCATTCGACACACGAGTTAATGAATGTTCGAAGAAACTCTTTGGTGATTATTTACGTAACGAAAAAATATCTGCTTGTGATACATTAGACCAGGATTCATTAGATTTTTGTTTACCTGTTCATTGTGATCTGAAGTATCTGGGTCATCGAATACACTACGATAATGATTATAAATGCGTCGATATTCCTGTCTGCATAGGAGATCTTTATAAAGAATTACCAGACATAGTGTATGTGCCAGATTCAAATTTATGTAGAAATCTAGAAATGCCCATAACCGTTGAAGATATTTATGCCATTACATCTGGATTAGGCATCGCGACGCAAACCACAACTGAAGATAACACTTATCTCGAAGTAAAATCAAACTGTTCCACAATTTCACAAAATATTAATCTAATAAGAGATTTAATGTATGGAAGGCTGTATCCTTATACGAAAGACAAATTTACTGATTTTAGTAAATGTTTTAAATCAGCAATACTCACCATAATACTTTGCATAATAAGTATAACTGCGCTTTTGTTTTCTTTTATATGTTGTGTTAAAACCACAGTATGGTTGTATAAAAAAGGATCCGAAGGGGAAATAAAAAAACATTGGCAATGTGTTAAACGTCGTTTTAAAAGGAAAAAGAAATGTAAAGATAAAAGTGTGACCGATACGGAAGTAAGGAACGCGTTATTAAAGGACGTGATTGTAAAAGATATTCCCATGGAGCTCAGGGATAGTGTAGTAAATATATGCGACAGGATGGAGAAAGAAGTAAGTAAGAGACAACGTTACAGAAAAGAAGATATCGGTAGTCAGATAAGTTTACTGCATAGAAGTTCATCGATGGAGTCTGATGGTGAAGAATAGTCTTAAGACACTTTAACGTTATTTATGTAGATTGTATGTTGTTGCACAAAAACTACAAATTTAAATTTAATTAAACACTTTAATGTTACATTTGTTTAATGATAGCTAGATAATCAAATAAATAATTTAAAAACCAATGTTTCCAATTAAAATATACAAAGTTGTATAGTGTACCTATACAAAGTAAAGATGTAAAAGCTTAATTAAGTATAATAACAAATCTATACTATGTAGAAACGTTTAATTCTTTGAATTTAGTTTAGATGAAAGAGCGACGTCTCAGTTAAATGTTTCGTTATATTTCTCTCTAAGACAAGAGTTTCGACTTAAAACATTTCAGTTTTAATTAAATATGAAAGTTTTACTTAAAGATTTACATTAATCTATTTTATTAATTAGTATAAAGTAAATTTTGTCCGACCTCCAACAGTGAGTAACTTTATTTATCATTGTTGCATAGATATATGATGAACCACAAAAGCGTTAGACTACTAAAACGTTAGAGTGTCAGGTCCCCCATTTATCGTGATAATTAGTATAAGTTCACATGAAAAGAAACATATTGAAGATGGCTCTATTTAGTTGACTTCCATTTAGTTATATTACAACGGCATATGACGCTGTCCAACGAATGATATAAATCTAACGATATCCCATGCCGTGGGCCGTGTCTCAATGGTTATGGAAAAGGCTTTCCGAAATAGAGAGATCCACATTTTTCCTTTACCTATAGTGCAAACTCTGACATTCGCAATGCTTATGGACAAATTAACAGACATGGACAAAGCGAAAAGTGAAATTAGGCTTATATCAAAGTGCTTATATTCATAGAAATGTAAAACACCTAATCAGATTATTTATTTTTAAGATATCATCAAAGTATACACGGAGTAGGCTGTCTGCATTATCTGTAAGAATACACAAATCATTAGTTATTATTTGTGTCTTGTAAAAACATTATTTTATTTTATTTAAAAAATTGAGGGCCTGATATGGTGAGCCAAGGTAAAGGCTTCGACGTGAAAGTTGAATAATACCACCCTCACCACTGACGCGCCTTAGACTCCCATCAGTATTTCGCTTTAAAGGCAAGGATCAACCTTTCTTCTGTGTAGGAAATAAGTCGTGGATTTTAATGTCTAAGACACCACACTAGTGGCGCACCAAGCCATTTATATATTATCTTATGCTCAAAGAAATATAGCGTTTACATACTTCATATTATGTTATTAGGTAGGTAGTAACATCAAAAAAGTCTAGCATTTGTTTTTTGTGGTTAAATGTATACTATGAAATATATTGGTAAATATATTGGTACTGTCTTTATAAACTTACCGATACAAAGATTTCCAAACTAATAGTAAGCATTCCGCATGCCGTAAAGTGTACAGGTACCTGCGAGCACGCCATCATTATGACAATGGATCGACGGATGCTGGTGTCTGGAACTGATTCCCACTTGCAGTCATATAAGAAGTTGCATACTTCGCCCGCCTGGACCAAATCATAACAGCCGGCTAAGTTTGAGATAGAGCCAATGGAGCATTTCAATAAAACTGTTTCATGGACATAAATGTGAATTTAATGCATTATTTTTCAAAAGCTCCTTTCGAGTGTTTATAGGTTTCAGTCAGCGAGAGAGATTCACAATAAAGGAGAAATGGTAATGTAACATCTGCATTTTAAAACCGGTCGTGCCTGTCCATTTGGCTGAAGTACGAAGGTAACAGCATAGCACTCCCACTAGGAAGGGGCTGATAAAATAACTTCTGTCACAGGTTATTTCACCAGTGGATGGGGTCGTCAAGATACTATATTTGTACCAAATGCATTGCTAATGATGTCAGGGCTACCTACAAAAAAAGTCAAAGGTTTCTTGTTTTATAACTTACGGTGGATGTGACATCCGATGCGACATAACAGGGTATGAAAATGTTGACCGAAGCCACAGTAGCGAATATAAAGTAAATTATTGTGTTTTCACTTCCCTGAAATTATTTAATTGATATAAAATTTACCATTAGAACAAGATAACTAACTATTATAGAATAAATTTAAATAACAATCAACTGTATTAATAAGATCTTGAAAATAATAAAACGTGAACGCGAAACTCTTATGATACGGAATCGTGAATAAAAAATACTTGTTGACTTGTAAATCTTCGTTTCATACTCCAAGACTGAAAGTTGCGTGATACTGTGTAGCCTTACCGCTTTCGTCTGGCTGAGGCCCATTGAAATCTGAATAATAACCAGTGTGAAGACAGAGGCCAGCCAGAACTGATAAAATGACTGAATTTCTTTAATAAACCTGCAACACCATAATACCATATATAAACCATAAACACTAGAAAAATTGTAAAAAGACTACAAACAAAAAGAGTATTTGCTTAAACAATATCTCAGTCAAGAATTGTGTATATGTCGCAGTAAAGTAGTTAAATCAGAGAGTTATTTAAAAACATTTAATTAAATATCGATATTCAATCAACTCGCTAGCGTTTTGATTTAAATAAAGCAGCGTCGAAAACGTTCAACTATCTGTCTGACTGAAAGCCAGCGTGTTGATTAATAATGTAAAACAAGATGGCGGTCACGACAGCAGCTCATTACTTTTAGAGTGAGATCTATATGCCACTTAGACTTTGCTCTGACTTAACTATCGAGCTAAGAACAGTCGGTATTTATAGAGCAAACTACAATCTCTCCCTAGTGTTGGCTTAGCTTAATCTCAAGTCCACAAACACGACTTACCAAAAACTTTGACTATAAGCCTAACAAAAATAATGGCCCAAAATTTGCTTTACCATCATATCTTTTACTGGACTTTTTATTTTTGTCGGTTTTAATGAACGGTGTTGCCATTTTGTATCGGAGTTCCATAACTTTGGGAAAAATAAATTTGAATTCAAAGAAATTATAAATGATCTTGATAAATACCTATGAAATGCATGAAATAAAATAATTAACTTATTATGGTATTTATTGTTGTTTATTTATATTATTTATGTAATTGTTCAAACCCATTTAGAAATCTTAAAAATAACTGGTGTGATTTTGTATGTCACCTGGCAGCCTGGAATTGGCATTTATAGTGACAACGAAATTCAAACTATAACTAACCAAAAATTGCGATCGTTCACGTAATAAAATTATTGTCATCTTTAGATAATTAATACATTTTCTAAAGGTTACTCGTGAATTTCTAGTTATTGCAATAATAAAATAAATGAATACATAAATTGAAGATATATGTGTACCGTTTTAGATTTTTAAATATTTGTTATTGTTAACTTTTTTAAAGGATAATAAACAAATATTGCATGAAATGAAAATCAATTTGTATTTTGACATTTTCTGTCTTAGCTTGGGCTTAGCTTAATCTCACCGTTAAAATGTCATAAATACGAAATCATAGTTTAACCTTAGTGTACACTAAGCAAAGTTTTCGTAAGGTAAGTCTGAGCAAATCAAGTGCACTTAGATCTCACCCTTAGAGTCTTTCTTTTGGCAAACGTTGGTTTGTTGACAGTGGTTTTTTGTTTCAAATTGTGGCCTTTAGGTTAAATTGTAAAAATATTGTTTACAATTTCGGTGTGATCGTGAGAGCTTGGAAATTTCGTGTTTTGTTTCATTGTAAATGGTTAGGTTAGGTTAGTAATAATTTTAATTTGTTTTTTAATTTTTATTATGTAAGCATATTTTTCATTTGTATCGTTGATTTTAATTTTGTTGTTGAAGATATTTTATAGTTCCTTTTTTGTATGCCTTATTTCGCCCATACAATTTTTGTGGAATAGGTTCTAGTTAGTATCTAGTTTATACTTAGGTTGAGCAATCATATTTAACATGCCATTAATAAAGGTAAAACGAACTTAACAAATGTACTAAATATCTGCAGCAGAGCAGGTTTTATTTTTTTAAATTAAAGAAATATAAAACAAAAAAAAACATATTTTTATTGGCTGTTCACTGTGATTAAACAGCAATATACATATATAGGAAATATATAAATATATATTTTTTTCCAATCAAATATCTTGGTCACCCTACCAAAGTTGAAATATGCGTCTTGTTGTCTAGAAACGTTCAGGAAACTCTTTAAACGTTTTGTTCAGTTACTTGTCTGACGGAACTTTAGCGAGTTAATTGAATATCGATATTTAATTAAATGTCTAGAGATTCAATTTACTCTCTGATTTAACTACTTTACTGCGACATATATATATGATTTCTGTGTCAGATATATATTATACGCTCTCTACCTATAAACATCACATTGTTCTTTTACAATACTTCCAATCTTCGCTTTAATCGTTGGAATGTTTGCGTCGTCCATTAGGTGGGTTATCTTGTGAGAATAGATTTTTATTTTTAGTGATGCATGCAGCACTGTTACGTAGAATAGTCCATCAAAGCCTAAAACATTTCAATTCTACTTTAGCAGTGAGTTTTGTTGTAACTGGGAACATAATACAGCAACAAATAATTGTATATTTTTTGCGACAGACGGGGTTAAGATTGTAAAGCAAACGACGAAATTGTGCGTTCCGTTCCATTCCATTGTGATCTTTTAATAATAAAACCAACACATAGTTACGGCCATACGTCCAATCACTATCGAACGCAACGATTTGTCTTGCGTCTTTCATTCCCCTTCATTACTTCCTGCCCCCGGAACAGGTACTTAAGTATATAATCTGAAAATGATGCCTTGGTGACTGGGTTCGATGTTCACTCGAATTATAGATTATAATTGACTTTTTCTCCGTCTCTTGTGAGTTGTAAGGACTCGATTACTATTAATGCCGTTTTGTAAAAAATTTATGCATTTGTACGGCATTAGTGACATTGTTCAGTGAGACTTTTGTCGTGAGAACACACAGAATGCCCAGTGGTTCTGAGGTACCTAAGATAGGCTTTTGGGGGTATTAAAACAATTTAATAGGTAAGTATATTTCAGTTACATAAGAGTTACGTCAAAAGAACAATAATTTTTAAAGTTATAATAAGCCAATTTGATTGTTTCTTTTATTAATGTTTAAATAAAATAATAAATAACTTTTTTGAAACATTTACCTGTATATGCAATTACTACGATTGTTACGATATAAATGCCATAAACAGTCAGAATTTCGAAATAAGGTGTTTCATACTTCAGCTCCTCGATAATCGGAATTAGTGACTCATGTATCATATATTTTCTCGGTTCTTCGGTAAATTGGGAAAGGAGAGTTAACAGAAAAGCCAGCAGAATAAAAGCTAAACCGGTACATATCACCATTAAAATCCAGATAATTTCCAATTTCTTGCATTTCTCTATTGTCTCTGTGACAATGACGCGGTAGTCTTCAGGAAGATGGTTGTAACTTTCGTAGTCTGTGGACACTTTATCTAGTATTGCTCGGAATTTCTTAGTGTGATTTAGCGTTAGAAATATCTAAAAAAAATGATACACAAATATTAAAAAAGTATTAGATTCATTTAAATATTTTAGTAGAGGCTAAGAAGCTATAAAAATATAAAGATTACCTTAATATAGACGTAAACAAGCAACACGGTGATGATAAGCTGACGAAAAAGATTATCTGTGTCTTTGATTTGTATTCGCTCTCTGATATCGCATAACATTATAAAGAGTTGTGGGGCACTGAGAACTCCGATCACACCTATATAGTTGACCGATATAGGAAAAAGTCAAGTTATTTAAAAAATTCCTTAATGAATGTACATAATTTATCTATGGTTTCAGTGATGTAAATATTTTTTTTAAATAGAGTCCCAACGGTATCTCCGTCATTGATTGGGTCAGGTCATCAGTCGGATATTGAGTACAAGACATGCCGTTTTTGAGGTATTTGCTTCATAAAACGGAGTACTATTCGCCAGGGTTCGAATGCTGTTCGGATTGAATGCCTCAAACACTAGGCTAAAACTGCTAAAACGTATACAGTTTTAAGCTTGTATCTCTATTGTTCTTATAGTACGGGAGGTAGCAACGTTTGAAAAAAAAGAATTTTAGGTCAGCTGATTTTGTGATATGTCTTCCTTCTTGCACTTCCGGTTAGAGTCTGGGCAATCTGGCTGGCGGTAGTGGTTGCGTTCATTAGTGCGCATCCTATCTGTCCAGGTAAAAATCCTGGATTTTAAAAGCATTTTAAGAAGCGTAATTTTTAATTTTTCGTTTTTAAATACGTCTACCTGACATACTTTTTTTATTGCCAGACATTTTTCACGTTGCTAACTATGTGCCAGACGCGATTTTAAGTTTTATTTTTATGAAAATTTCAAAGCATTTTAGAATGTCTGTAATTTTAATATTATGTTATTGAAATATAAGGAAAACTGAAAATGAATTTGCCAGACATTAATTCGGTTGTTAAGTCTTGAATTAAAATGATAAAGTTTTGCAGTATGATGAAGCATTGCATTTTAAGAAGCGTAATTTTTGATTTTTCCTTTTTAAATACGTCTACCTGACATACTTTTTTTATTGCCAGACATTTTTCACGTTGCTAACTATGTGCCAGACGCGATTTTAAGTTTTATTTTTATGAAAATTTCAAAGCATTTTAGAATGTCTGTAATTTTAATATTATGTTATTGAAATATAAGGAAAACTGAAAATGAATTTGCCAGACATTAATTCGGTTGTTAAGTCTTGAATTAAAATGATAAAGTTTTGCAGTATGATGAAGCATTGCATTTTAAGAAGCGTAATTTTTGATTTTTCCTTTTTAAATACGTCTACCTGACATACTTTTTTTATTGCCAGACATTTTTCACGTTGCTAACTATGTGCCAGACGCGATTTTAAGTTTTATTTTTATGAAAATTTCAAAGCATTTTAGAATGTCTGTAATTTTAATATTATGTTATTGAAATATAAGGAAAACTGAAAATGAATTTGCCAGACATTAATTCGGTTGTTAAGTCTTGAATTAAAATGATAAAGTTTTGCAGTATGATGAAGCATTGCATTTTAAGAAGCGTAATTTTTGATTTTTCCTTTTTAAATACGTCTACCTGACATACTTTTATTATTGCCAGACATTTTTCCCATTGTTAACTATGTGCCAGACGCGATTTTAAGTTATTTTTTATAAAAATTTCAAAGCATTTTAGAATGTCTGTAATTTTAATATTATGTTATTTAAATATAATAAAAACTGAAAATGAATTTGCCAGACATTAATTCGATTGTTAAGTCTTGAATTAAAATGATAAAGTATTGCAGTATGATGAAGCATTGCATTTTAAGAAGCGTAATTTTTAATTTTTCCTTTTTAAATACGTCTACCTGACATACTTTTTTTATTGCCAGACATTTTTCACGTTGCTAACTATGTGCCAGACGCGATTTTAAGTTTTATTTTTATGAAAATTTCAAAGCATTTTAGAATGTCTGTAATTTTAATATTATGTTATTGAAATATAAGGAAAACTGAAAATGAATTTGCCAGACATTAATTCGGTTGTTAAGTCTTGAATTAAAATGATAAAGTTTTGCAGTATGATGAAGCATTGCATTTTAAGAAGCGTAATTTTTGATTTTTCCTTTTTAAATACGTCTACCTGACATACTTTTATTATTGCCAGACATTTTTCCCATTGTTAACTATGTGCCAGACGCGATTTTAAGTTATTTTTTATAAAAATTTCAAAGCATTTTAGAATGTCTGTAATTTTAATATTATGTTATTTAAATATAATAAAAACTGAAAATGAATTTGCCAGACATTAATTCGATTGTTAAGTCTTGAATTAAAATGATAAAGTATTGCAGTATGATGAAGCATTGCATTTTAAGAAGCGTAATTTTTAATTTTCCTTTTTAAATACGTCTACCTGACATACTTTTTTTATTGCCAGACATTTTTCACGTTGCTAACTATGTGCCAGACGCGATTTTAAGTTTTATTTTTATAAAAATTTCAAAGCATTTTAGAATGTCTGTAACTTTAATATTATGTTATTTAAATATAAGAAAAACTGAAAATGAATTTGCCAGACATTAATTCGATTGTTAAGTCTTGAATTAAAATGTAAAAGTCATGAAAAGTATTGCAGTATAATGCTTGTAGTACGAGCATAAAAAGGAATATAAAATTTGATTAAAATTAATAATCAACACTTTATTTAAATTGGCCTAATTACTAAATGTAAGTTATGAATAATTAATATTAAGTTTTACAAGTTGTTTTAGCCTATAGTGACGTCACAAAAAGAGGCATCTTCATAATCATCATCATCATCGTCGCTGTCTTTGTCGGTGTCATTCATATCATCTTCTTGGGAACTTTCGTTATCTTCTAAAACTCTATCATCTGCAACAGAAAAAAATAAACAGTGTGATTTTTCTTGTTCGTTATTAAACATTTTAGTTATTATTGATAAATGTTCCATTTAACACTTACTTTGAACAATAATATCTGCAACTGAGGATGGTAATTGATCTCCCAAAAACCAAACAAAATCATATTTGTCACCGTTAATGGTCCACCCAAAAGCCATTGGAGATAAAGATGTTGGATGTTTTAAGTGAGCATTTCTCCAAATTTTCGTCACGTAACGAACCCTCAATAAATGCTGTTCCAATTCCACTTTACAGGGTGGCAAACTGGATGAGTCAAAGTTTCGAAATTTTTTGTCAAAGTTCTCATCTGATTTTTTTGACTTAAACGTACTTGAAAATAAATGAAATCGAACATCATTAACAATCGAACAATTTTTAACTCCATACATTTGACAAATAAATTTCTCCAGGATTACAAACGTAGTTTCAAGTACTTCTTTATCATCCGAAATTATATTATCAAAAGCTAACTGGTATTCCTCAGAATTTTCTAATATTTTAAAAGGCTTAACTTTGCCTTTTCTAAAAAAAGCTGGCGTGTAATCACATCCGGTGATTGCGTGGAAGCATGGTAAAGCTTTGCATAAAGAGTCACCAAGAATTCGGTACAATTCATTGATGTTTATGTAACGCTGATGATTTCCAACACCCATATTTATCCAAATTTTCAAAGATTTTTTCAGGTGATCCATATTTCCCAGAAGTATAATTAAAATATCAGAATCAGAACAGCGTATAACAACTTCTGCGTCAAAATCGATTTGGCAAATATGAAAAATTATCCTAGAATCAGCTTCTTCGTGTTCTTCACACGATAATGATTCTTCAATAGTTTTAATTACTTTGTTATTTATCACTTTGTATGAATAACATTTATTAAAACTTACGTAAATGTTTTTATTACCAATGAACGGCAACATGTCTTCACTACCCCAGTGATCAATAAAAAAGTTAACCAAAGCTTCTTTAAATTGCACATTTTTAAGTTCAGCTGCGAAATTATGGGGCCGAATTTGGTTAGGACCGATTGAGACAGGGCTGGTTGCTTCTTCTCGCCGTAAACGTTCACAATCTTTGATAGAAGGCAAAAAATATTGGTCGAAGATAATATCAATTCGTACAGATTTCATTTGGGAGATAGTACATAGAAACTTCTTAGAAATACCTTCATAGGTTTGTGGCACATCTTTCATCAGATGCAACAAAAAAAAACCATCAACAAGACAAACATCAAAAGTTGACGGTTGTCGATCTATAGTGTTGTCCAATTTCTTCTCTATTAACTTTGCTAATTGCGATTTGTCGGTTTTACATATTGAACCATCTGGATGACACATTGACGTTGGCATCGGGGTAAGTGGAAATGCCAAAACTTTTTCAATGTCAACCTTGTGAGTGAGAGAAATTCCCAGCATTCTACCAAATAGATCTCTCTGCATTCGCAGCTCAACAACTTTATTCCCTAGCGTCAATTTCTTCTTTTTTGGCGCTTCAGCAAAATTAAAAACTTTATTTTTTTTTATTGGTTTATCAAATCTACTCTCATCATCTGCGCATTCATTGATAAATCGGTTCCTTAAATTCTCACCATTCTCTTGAATATTCAATAAAAAGTCAGCAACTTCAGGAGAAGCAGGCTTTGAAGTAGCAATGTTGTACAGATTTTCTTTATCTAATTGTGGATCGAATGGATTGCAATTTGCTTTGAGAATTTCAATAAAATCAGCAATTTGTTTTCCATAGATTTTAATTCTGTTAGGTTGTAATTCTGCTGTTATATCTTGTAAGTTCCTTAAGCCACAAACATCCAAGACGTGTGATATCAATGCTGCTCTTATGCTGTGACTTTTTGACCATCGTTGTCGTGCAGCTATAGAATTAGTAAAGTGAGCAATACCACTCAATCGTTTAGCTGCATCAGCATTTATTGTTTGTTCCAGAGTGAGATCTATCGGTATTCGTGAGAATGGTTTGTCGGTTCTTTTTACTCCGAAACTTCCTTTATAAAAATCGTCTTCTAGTCCAGGGTGAGTTTTATTGACATTATTCAAATTTTCCGAATATTTTACACAATATCGAGCGTAGTTAGGCTGATTAACAATAAAAAATAAATTTGCCATTTTCGGAATCACGTACTTAAACATTTCAAAGTCACCCATACGTATGCTTCTCGACAGGTTTATGTAGTGACTAATTAACTCGATGTAGATCATATAAAATTGTGCTGTTTTTCCGTGGTTGCCTTGTCTGGAATTTTCTACGTACCTTTTATAAGAATTGAGCAGTTCCGATAACACTTCATTTGGTATTAAATCCGTGCTCGCTGATGGTGGTAACGAAATTTTTTTGTTTTGATATTCTAGCAGATCTTCATAAATTTGTCCTTTCACAAAATCATGTTCAGCATTCTTACTCTTTAAAAATATATCGAAATGCAATATTTGTAAGCCTAATGCAATTAACGGGTGTAGACGTTTGCAACGGTTAAAATGTTTACCCTCAATTATTCCATTTACAGACCCCGAAGCAATAATTTCACTCTCAATCATCATGTGAGATAACCCGCACTTATTGATAAAAGTACCTACCGCTTTAAAAAATGCCATCATTAAATGAAACGAGCCAAGATGTATGAAAAGATTACTAAACTTTAAACCTTCTGTTGCTTGAATTTTATAAGCTGTTTTAGCAATGCCTAAGTCATAAGTAACTTGTACATAAGTTTGACCACATTCTTTACCAACATTTTGTGCTTGTTCCATTGTGTAGGCTACTACTGATACATTTGTAGGTGATAAATTAATAGGAGTAAGATAAGATACTTTCTGTTTTGGACTATTGTCTTCTATAATTCTGCAATTGAATCCTGCCCACGATGGTGTGTTCGGCACGTGAAAAACATATGAAAGCAAATGCAATAGATCAATTGTTTGTATAGATGAGAAATTTTCGGGTAAAGGTGATGTTTGATCGATTTGAACTGGCGTTAAGCGAACCAAAATCTTTAATCGCTTGCTATAAGGAATAATATCTGGAGTAATTTCTGTCAAAGTTCTTCTTCTTTTTTGAGGTGGCCTTGTTGGTGACACATTTTCGGAGTTTGCATTACCATAATCTTGGTTAAATCCACTACAGGAATAACTATCAATGTTTTGGTATATAATCCCCACAGTGTCATGTAAAGTTTCTTTTCCATTCAACGTGTCAACATATCTATCGAAATTATCGAATGCTACACCGGTGCATAGCGAAGGATTTAAAATAATGTCTGGAGGACAAACTTGGGATTGACGTACTGATGAGATAGTTGCTTCTGTTTCTAATTCTTCTAGAGTGGTATAGTTACAGCAATGTCCAAATCTATTTAAAATATTTATTATTTTTTTGCTGCTTGTTAGACTTTTTATAGTCATACCAAGAGTGATATGTTTAGATGGTTTAACAGTACCATTACTTACACAAAAAATGGCATCAGCAGCCAGTGAGGAAGTCAATCTACTACAATTTAAACTATCTCTGCGTCTTATATCTTTACCCCCCATCAATACTTTGAAGAATCGATTTAATTTATCAGGAATCACGCATTCACCAGTAATTAAGTCGTTTGTTTTAATTTTCGATGGTAATTTTGATTTTTCAATTTTTAAAATAGCATTTCGCAAGGTTAATGCAACTTTATCAATTAAGTTGTCTTCTTCAAGTTTTGTGAAATCATTTTCTAGTAAGCTGCAATCTTTATGAATGATAATTATTTTGTTTTGCTTCGATATAAATTTAATACTTTTCTTAAAATGTTTTTGTATTTTTTCTTCAAGATAATGATTAGTTATTAAACTAATATCTGACTGAGGCTCTAGTTTCTGCTCATATTCCAAATAATTATTGTACGTATCACAGAGAGATGATAAAAATACACATTTTTTTTTTTGCATTACTTCTTCTTCTACCGTTGATACAATATGATTAAAAATATCTTTATGAATATTGCGATTTTTATGCCAAGAAGTATGTCGAATGTCTGAAACTATTTTATTATAATCATTTAAATAATTTAATTCACATAAATGATGATAAAAAATTGTTTTATTTTCAGATTTAAGACGATTAATTTTCTGTAATAATTCTTTATTATTAAGTTTTTCCATCCAGTCAATGATTTTGTCATAAAGCTTTGCATCGGGTGAGGAATGAAGATTTTGTTGTTTACCCTTATTCTGTTTACGCTCTTTATCACAAAAAAAACAAACATTTTTGAGTTGTCGATCTTTTCCAACATCTTCAATATTAGTATTAGGAATTTCATTAAAAGCATTAGTTTCGCTGTAAGCAACATATTCTAACGTTGTCTGACTATCTAAATTTGAAGCAGCATTTTCACTAATATCTACTATAATACTTGGTGACAAAGTGGGTGAAGTGAAGTTACTGGCATAATCTGTTTCTGATGATGTATCACGGTATTTTGCCATTAAAGCAGTAAAACTACTATAACACTGTCTATGATATCCATCTGTCTTATTAATTTGTGTGGGCAGCTCAATGTCACTGTACTTTAATTTATGTTTCACACGTACACTTAAAACTTGCTGACATTTTTTTAGTTTATCACCCTCGAAAAGTATTAAATTATCGTTATGTCCTTTACATATAACACACTTTATTTTGTCATTAGCCATTGTAACTAAATTAAAAAATAATCATTAAAATCAAAACAATTCAAACATGTGACATTAGACTGACGCCAACTCCACGCTCCACAAACTTTTTAACTTCTTGCAAACTTTGTGAAAAAAGTTTGCAAGAAGTTAAAAGTTTGTTTATTTTTGTGTTTTTACTTTTTTTTTTTTTCATCTTTTTTGTGACGTCACTATAGGCTAAAACAACTTGAAAACTTAATATTAATTATTCATAACTTACATTTAGTAATTAGGACAATTTAAATAAAGTGTTGATTATTAATTTTAATCAAATTTTATATTCCTTTTTATGCTCGTACTACAAGCATTATACTGCAATACTTTTCATAACTTTTACATTTTAATTCAAGACTTAACAATCGAATTAATGTCTGGCAAATTCATTTTCAGTTTTTCTTATATTTAAATAACATAATATTAAAGTTACAGACATTCTAAAATGCTTTGAAATTTTTATAAAAATAAAACTTAAAATCGCGTCTGGCATATAGTTAGCAACGTGAAAAATGTCTGGCAATAAAAAAAGTATGTCAGGTAGACGTATTTAAAAGGAAAAATCAAAAATTACGCTTCTTAAAATGCAATGCTTCATCATACTGCAAAACTTTATCATTTTAATTCAAGACTTAACAACCGAATTAATGTCTGGCAAATTCATTTTCAGTTTTCCTTATATTTCAATAACATAATATTAAAATTACAGACATTCTAAAATGCTTTGAAATTTTTATAAAAAATAACTTAAAATCGCGTCTGGCACATAGTTAACAATGGGAAAAATGTCTGGCAATAATAAAAGTATGTCAGGTAGACGTATTTAAAAAGGAAAAATCAAAAATTACGCTTCTTAAAATGCAATGCTTCATCATACTGCAAAACTTTATCATTTTAATTCAAGACTTAACAACCGAATTAATGTCTGGCAAATTCATTTTCAGTTTTCCTTATATTTCAATAACATAATATTAAAATTACAGACATTCTAAAATGCTTTGAAATTTTCATAAAAATAAAACTTAAAATCGCGTCTGGCACATAGTTAGCAACGTGAAAAATGTCTGGCAATAAAAAAAGTATGTCAGGTAGACGTATTTAAAAAGGAAAAATTAAAAATTACGCTTCTTAAAATGCAATGCTTCATCATACTGCAATACTTTATCATTTTAATTCAAGACTTAACAATCGAATTAATGTCTGGCAAATTCATTTTCAGTTTTTATTATATTTAAATAACATAATATTAAAATTACAGACATTCTAAAATGCTTTGAAATTTTTATAAAAAATAACTTAAAATCGCGTCTGGCACATAGTTAACAACGGGAAAAATGTCTGGCAATAAAAAAAGTATGTCAGGTAGACGTATTTAAAAAGGAAAAATCAAAAATTACGCTTCTTAAAATGCAATGCTTCATCATACTGCAAAACTTTATCATTTTAATTCAAGACTTAACAACCGAATTAATGTCTGGCAAATTCATTTTCAGTTTTCCTTATATTTCAATAACATAATATTAAAATTACAGACATTCTAAAATGCTTTGAAATTTTCATAAAAATAAAACTTAAAATCGCGTCTGGCACATAGTTAGCAACGTGAAAAATGTCTGGCAATAAAAAAGTATGTCAGGTAGACGTATTTAAAAAGGAAAAATCAAAAATTACGCTTCTTAAAATGCAATGCTTCATCATACTGCAAAACTTTATCATTTTAATTCAAGACTTAACAACCGAATTAATGTCTGGCAAATTCATTTTCAGTTTTCCTTATATTTCAATAACATAATATTAAAATTACAGACATTCTAAAATGCTTTGAAATTTTCATAAAAATAAAACTTAAAATCGCGTCTGGCACATAGTTAGCAACGTGAAAAATGTCTGGCAATAAAAAAAGTATGTCAGGTAGACGTATTTAAAAAGGAAAAATCAAAAATTACGCTTCTTAAAATGCAATGCTTCATCATACTGCAAAACTTTATCATTTTAATTCAAGACTTAACAACCGAATTAATGTCTGGCAAATTCATTTTCAGTTTTCCTTATATTTCAATAACATAATATTAAAATTACAGACATTCTAAAATGCTTTGAAATTTTCATAAAAATAAAACTTAAAATCGCGTCTGGCACATAGTTAGCAACGTGAAAAATGTCTGGCAATAAAAAAAGTATGTCAGGTAGACGTATTTAAAAACGAAAAATTAAAAATTACGCTTCTTAAAATGCTTTTAAAATCCAGGATTTTTACCTGGACAGATAGGATGCGCACTAATGAACGCAACCACTACCGCCAGCCAGATTGCCCAGACTCTAACCGGAAGTGCAAGAAGGAAGACATATCACAAAATCAGCTGACCTGAAATTCTTTCTCGAAAACGTTGCTACCTCCCGTACTATTAAGAGATAGTATTAATTTTTATCGAGTCCCGTCAAACCATTCAATAAGACAAGAAATACTCACCAAACCCGATTGCCCTTTTAGAGTCTTTTCGTGGATTAGGATACATCATGCTTGCGATTAGGAAAAATGTGATGAGTTCGTACGTTGTATGCACGCATTTAAACTTATTTTCTGAAACTGACAAAAGGAGGTGTTCAGTAATTACGCTTAACGGTTCAAACATTATTCGGCACCTCGAACATTTGATCCTACCCGTAGGGCTCCGTCTGATACCTTAGGACTCTTGGTGCAGACATCCCGTATTTATTTATATATTTTTATGTTCACTATTTATGTTTTACGGCTACGTCTGTAGGGCTTAGGGATCCGTAGGGTTGTTAGGTTCTAACATATCACCCACTCATATATTTAGTTATGTAGTGCAGCTTGCTCATACATACACTACATATAATGTACAGATACTCCTGACATTTAATACATATAAATTTTACACACATCTTACAGTCCACTGGCAAGCTGTACAGGACGTATTAAAGTGCTAAAAGAATTTAGAAATGCATACATAGTGGGATAAATTCAGAAAAACTAAATATTTTTATTTATTACTGATCTTATGGCGGGTTGTTGCCTATGGCGTGCCCTGTATTATGAGGTAAAAAATTGACAGAGATATAGGCTCGTCTCGCGGGAAATTACTTCCGTATCGCAGGTGACGTCACGTAGGAAATAAATTTTAGGTAATAAATCTACAACATTAACTATTTTAGCCCAGTTCTTACACATGTCTAAATTATCACGTCCTTATTTCTAAACTAAATGAGTCTAATCATCTCTCTCTTTTAACCATAGATAATAGCGGCAAATCACAGAGAAATTGGCGATTTTTAATTTTTATATCATTTGTAAAGCAAAAGGCATTGCACTTCTTTTTCTTGTTCCACATTTAAAGAGTAAAACAAGTTACAGATATAACTTTAAACAGTGTAAAGTACAAGATGAAATATTTTAAATGAACATTGCATTGGGTTAAATGTTTGTTTTTATTTTTTTTGATTTGGTGCACTTCTTGGACTTTACCCTTAATATTTCTATTTTCCTTAGGATTGCCAGGAAGAGATCGCTTGTTAGCTATAAAACCGCCCGTTGCAACCCTTATAAATTATGTTATTAGTTTTTCCGTTAAAAAGATGGTGTACGGCAAAAAGTGCCTTAAACGAAACGGATGCGTTTTTTTTTAAATTTCTCAACGATTAGTAATCGTTATTTTTATATTTAAACAAATAAAATCACATTAAAAAGATAATGCTTACTCATGACTTCGACGATGTCTGCAAAATGGTAATGCAGCTGAAAAATAAAAGCTTAAGAAAGTTACATAATTGGTATCGCTGACAAGTCATATCAATCAAGCTTAAGCTATAAATTAATTTGATACAATAATTTATAAGAAGGAAACGTTAAATAAGGCTTTAAAGTATCTATTATTAAAAAGTTTCACCATACGTATGTGTTCGTAATAATAACTACTAATGGTGCATGATGATGATTTTGAATCTTATGCTTTTAAAGAGAGTTCTTTGTCGGTTCTTCTCGCCTGATCTTCGCTTTTCATTTTAGATTATGATCTTCAACTTTTTTCTATACTGACGTTAGTACATAGTTACCTAAACAAATAAATAAATAGCTGACCCGGCAAACGTTGTTTTGCCATGTATATTATTTCTGGGAAACATTTTTTTTAGTTCAATAAAAATAAATACCTATAATAAAAAATAGGGGGTTATAGAGGGGTGAAAATTTAGGGCTGTATGTATTTTTGTATGATGTATCATAAAAAAATAAAAAATAAAATTTGTCGAAAAAATAAATATTTTTTTAGGGTTGTCACTTAGGGGTTTGAAAGATATATAGTAGCCGATTCTCAAACTTACAGAATATGCATAAAAAATTTCATAAGAATCGGTCGAGCCGTTTCGAAGGAGTATGGGAACGAACATTGTGACACGAGAATAATATATATATATAGATAACAAATCCAAATGTGAAATACTTAATGTATAGTTCATTATTTAAGTAACATAAACTTTTTTATTTAGAATAATAAAATAATACTAATTACTAGCTGTTGTTGGAAGTCGTGGAGATGTGTTTTTAATAATAAACAGAAACTCGATTCAGAATAAAATATAAAATTCTCTTTGGAAGAAGCAATTTATGAAGACTCAAAGGAAGGATTACGGTTGTCGTGCACATGTCAAGTTGCGTTAGAAATGGGTTGCTTAATTAAACTAGCGTTATTATATACATATATATACATTTAAATTTTATGGCTAAGTCGGTCAAAGGAATTCCATAATATCTGTGATGATAGAGTATTTATACAAATAGACGAATAATATGGACTAAACGCTACCTGCGACTGCGTAATATAGTATTAAAATAGGTTCATGTATATTGATTTTATAATGGGAGTGGGGAAATCGAGGAGGCCGATCATTTGAATAACGTGCTAACGGCCGTCCATGAAAACGTGCAACGCCTGGAGTGCTGTCTCTTTTCTTGAAGGTCTAAGACGAAAACCTTTACTGTCAGCTCGTTCCAGAAAGAGGTGGTACGCGGCAGAAAGTGCCTTAAAAAGTGTGGTGTTGTGAAATGCCAGGCGTCGATTTGAAAAGTATGGAATTTTGCATTCTGACTCGAGTCCGACATTAGAATAAACATTATCTTATGATTATCATCAAACAAGTTCCAATTGCTTGGGTTAATCAACTTTTATTTTTCGTTTAACGGGCTCACGGGATGTTACTGCACTTCTGCATTCTTTATTAATCACACGATTTTTGAATAAACATTTATTAGCTTTGTTATAATATAACCTGCATAAGTGGTTTTATATCAAAAGCGATACCTCTCAATCTTGTCTCGAAAGTGGAGCCGAAGGGCGCCATTATCTACGAAATGTGATTTCCCTCTAATAACATCATGTCAGCCATTTGCATTTTAAAAATTCAATTTTATCTTACAAAATATTTCTCGCTTATATTAAACAAGAGTTCGTGTAACAAATATTACTCTCATAGAGAGCCAAGACGGTTCTCACCGATATTACTTTTCTCCAGTTCACGTTGAAGTATCATTTGTAGTACTTTTGAGGCGAGGTAGAGGTAAATACAGATTTTTCAGGGGCAAGGGCCCTCTGATCCGCGTACGATGATATCAGATTTGGTTTCATTTAGGTTCTGTGTTTTAAATTAGCCTACGACTTATTACACTATTGTCTACCCGGACATTTTATGTTTTATAATGGTCGGGTTTTATCAAATTATTGTAATTTTCAGCGGTTAACGTAAGTCAACACCCGGCTGAGTTTCCCGAAGAAACAACAAAAACTTTACTTTAATGAAACAGCCCCCCTGCTGAGTAGTTACTGGGGCCTTAGTCAAGATGCCTTAACAGTAGTGTATGTTGAAAGTCAGAAACGAAATTTGTATGAAAACTTTTCGACACGAACTGTCATTTCCATACAAATTTAGTTTTCGACTTTCTACATACACTACTGTTAAGGCATCTTGACTAACCCCCCTGGACTTGTAAATGTAAATCGCTCAATACTCTATGTTTACTAGTCCTATTTAGCTGAGGCTCAAGACAGGACCTCTAGTCTAGTCGACAAGTTGAAAATGGTACAAAATAGAGATACTGCTCTTAAAATTATGTGCGATAGCTCATTGGATCCGGAATGACGTCTAGAAAAATGTGCCAAAAGCGTGTATTAGCACATAAAAAATTGAAAAAGTTATAAACAATTAAAGATGAAAAAAATGGCATTTTGTTTTTTGCCAATATTTAAAAAACTATTAATATTTAAGAAATTTCAAAAAAAGATTCTGAAAGAAGAGGAAATTTTCAATAAAAAACTTCTAACTCCTGATTTTTTATAAAAATTTTTACTTAATAACAATTTTTGATTGTTTATAATAGTTTTTTTTTATTTTTCTATTGTTTAAATAATTAGTTAAGAAATTTTTTTTTATAAAAAAAAAAAATTCAATACCTTAAATAAATAAATTAATGTTCCGTACTCGCTTTTGACGCCACGCTCGAATCCTAAAAATGTCACGCGCAGACCTATTTTCAGCGTTAAATTAAAATTATAAATAATGGAGATAGAGTTCCGGTTCTGGAGTTTTTTATTGAAAATTTCCTCTTCTTCTTGCAGCTTCCAATGAGCTATCGCACATAATTTTAAGAGCAGTATCTCTATTTTGTACCATTTTCAACTTGTCGACTAGACTACTCTGTAAACAAAGTCAGGGTAATTGAATTGTTGAAACGTATAGGGTTGTTGGTTCTTGTCGAACATACACAATATGTTCATAGTGTAGTCATTACGGTAACTTACTAGTCAAGTTTTGGGCAGATCAACGAGAAGTCTAAGCTTGTCTAGTTACAATTTGTACCATAAAGTTATTTTGTCTGACCTGCAGAGTTGGCTATTGGCACTTATGTAGAATATCGCGAAGTCATTTCCAACTAAAAATTTGATAAAAGTGAAACAAGATTGTCCCTATGTTGACTGAAAAATAAAGATTTTCTTTCTTTTCAGAACTCCTACTATGCCTTATGAAGGTATAATATGCCTTATAATCTATAATTAAATTTAACGAAATGGCTTAATTTATTAAATAATTATAGGGCAGTTCCTAGCGAAAGTTGTAGGTAATGTATAATTAATTATCCAGGATATTAGAATGAACATTAGATTATAGAATAGTTAGTAAGCAACAAATTATTTGACAAACAGTTTTATAGCCTTTTTACGACCGGAATCAGAATAAAAAAGTTGATAAAATCGTAATTACGAGAAATAAAAATTTAATTAAGCATTTAATCAATTAGAGCTTGAAGTACTTCGCAAATATTGTAATGTTGTGAAAAGCGCTAATGTTTATGGTTTTAATTAATTGCTAATTACCTTCATTTATATAGCAATTCTGCTTATAACTATAGACAATATTGAATAAATGTTTGGATATTGAAAACTATGAATAATACAGATTATTTAATCAAATTATATAAATACTGAAAATACATTATAATAGTATT